TTTTGCGGAACCAGAGATTGAACTCAGACCCTTGCACTTGCCAGGGAAGCACTCACTTCACTGAGCCATCTCCCCAGCCCCAATTGATTGATTTTTTAAAAAACTGATCCTTTATGTATTTGCCAAAAAAAAAAAATCTTGGCTGGAAGTATAGATTTGTTTCCTTTAAGAAATGAATCTTTTGAGTCAGACATGGTGGCACATGGCCTGTAATCCCAGCACTCAGAGGCTGAGGCAGGATCAGGTGAGCTTGGGCTACATGGTAAATTCAGAGCCAGCCTGAAATTACATAATGAGGCCGTCTTAAGAAGCAAAGAAAGAAAAAAAAAATTTATACCAGTTGTGGGGACATATGTCGGTAATTTCAGCACTCAGGAGGCTGAGGTGGGAGCCTTATCGTGAGTTCAAGGCCAGCCATTATTACATAGTGAGACTTTGTCTTAGAAAAACAAATATAAGAGAAGTGAATTATTCTCCCTTATGTTTGTGAGTGGTTGGGTTTTTTCCCCCAAAAAAGCTGCATGCCAAATTACAAGGCTGAAGATATTTTATATCTGATGTTTTTTTTTTTTCCTTCCTCCTCTTGCTTTTTTTTTTCCTTGCATTTATTTTATGCTTGTTTTATTCCTGTACCATAGTTTTTGTTTCTTCTGGGATATCTTTCTTTTGTGCAACTTCCTCCTCTGGGTCAGGAACACTTTGTATCTTTTTTTTTTTTTTTTTTTTTTACCACACACGATACCTGGGATTGAACTCAGAACCCTGCGCTTTGCTTATTCTACTGAGCTATCTCCCCAAGCCCAGGAACACTTTATATCTTGTCAGTAAGTATCATCTGTGGCAGGAGAGCCAGTCCAGGTCTGTAATGAGCGTTGTAGCTATGGCAGCTCAGCTTGCGTACTGTGTTTACATGGAGAGGTTCAATGACTAGAGAGTCTACTTTAAACCCTTCAATTCAGCATTATCTTTGCATTTTTAAAAGCATGTTCAGCAAAAATTGAGCAGTTTGGGGT